AAGAAGTTTCCAAGGGGGAAATTTTCTGTTTCTGGAGCCTCTTTCTTTTTGCTTATATGTTTTTCAATTTCAAGAAGGATGAGGAAAGAAAAATCGGATTAATCAAATCCTTTCAAATCGGAGATGGGGCTTCCTAAAAATTGCTCCTTAATTACAGCACCTCGGAAATTCCGAAAACCCATTAAAGTTGCTCAACTCTTTTACTCTCTCTCTCTCTGTTACTACTTACTACTACTACTACTTTTCTAACTGAACTAGGTTTTGCCTTCGTTGCTGCTCTTCCCGTTACATCCTGTAATCGGTACATGGTAAAAGAAACTACTTTTCCGGAGGTGTTTGATGCTAAATTCATCTGGGTTCAAGCTAATTTGTCGATCTTCTGAAGAATTCAGCGTCTGGGGTGGCGAAAAATTCGAACTTGTAAGTGATCAAACCTTTAATTGAAGGAGAAAGAAGGGTTTTTTTCTTTTCTTTTCCTTCTTTTAAGGTTAATCTGATGGTCTTTTTAGTTATAAACTCTCTTTTCTTTTTATTCTTGGATTACTTTTGCGGCTGATATGTTTTGCTTTGGTAATGACAAATTGGAAGTTGTTTAAGCTGATAATCTAGTAACATTTAGAGCTTAATTGATAGACTTTGCTGAATTCATTTAAAGATTGTGGTTGCTAACTTTTGATCATAGTTAAATGTTGAACCAGATGTTGGCACCAAAAAAAAAAAAAAAAAAAAAAGAGGAACATAGTTTTTGTTAGACATTCGATTGTGAAACCAAGGCAGCTAAGAAGTTTACTGTCTGGGTTGGTGCGAAGCAGAAGGGGGAGCTATTCTTATTTATGAGTGTCCTTTCATTAATTTGTCGTATCTAACCTTGATATGTCCCTGCTTAAATTTCCCTGTCAGCATTACTGGGATGCGGTTAGATCCTTAATAGCAAGTATAAGGTGCTAGTTGATGACCGCATAAGCCTAGCCTTCCTGAACCTTTGTGTACTCTGTTTGCGTTTATGCATTGATCAGAGGCACTAGCAGTATTTTGTGCTGTTGTGTGTCTGGACATGCATATGCATCTATTTACTCTCTTGTTTTGTCAGGCTACCTCGGTTGCATTTCCAATTTGTATCTATGTTATAATTATTAACATATATAGAATGACCGAGTGATATCTCGCAATATGTACTCAACATTCGAGTAATTAGTAAACGATGGACAGTGATGTATACGCACATTGGCATATGAAGTGGTTATGCATAAAATTGCCTTCTCAGTTTTGTCCTTAAGAAGTGGAAATTTCCTTGCAGGTTTCTGAAGTTATTTTTGTAGGTAAAGGCATTCTGGTCTTGGTGTTATTTGGCTGAAGCCTAGCATATGTACTGGTCATGGATAATCGAGTGAAAAGTTTATCCTGGATTGGAAACATACGGGAAAAGTTTGAAACTTTCTATTCAGAGATCGATGACATTGTAAAGGAGGTATTGGGCTTGTATTCTTGATTCCTGTTACTTTTGAAACAACTGTTTTGGTTTTCTCTTACGTTTGCTATTATTTCCCCAGTACTTATGGTGGTTGTGGGGATTGAATTTCTTGTGGCTAGTTTGAAATAGAACATTGATGAATTCCATGGCTTTTCAATTTGTTCAAGAGTGCATTCTCATCTCAGGATGAGCATTTTGTGGATGGAGCTGTGTACAGTTTTTCATGATTTATTCTAGCAATGAGATTTTTTTTTCCCTTTTCCTTTTTTTGTTGTTACAAGATATTATAATTGTGTTTTTGCTTCAATTGTGTTTAATAGTCCACTACCTCCTATTTGCTTGATCTGATCAGTTAGTCTGGTTCAATGATCAGTGAACTTCAATCACCTGACTGTTTGTGGTTTAATTGCTTTGTCGGACAGAATCTTGAATATGGTGAAAACCAGTTGCTTACAGCAGGGGCAAATGTGAAACAATTCTGTTCAGAGTTCATGGAAGAAGTGCTCCCTGAGAGTATAATAAACTCCTTACAAGAGAAAACTACTACATCTGAAAATGCAAAAAGGGTTGTCCATGGCGGTGGATTACCGGATAAAGAAGCCAATGCAGGCCATAAAGACGGACCATCTGATTGTAATTCTTCTAACCAACCAATTTTGATGGAAACTGTTGAAGAGGCAGATATTACTTTGTCATTTACTTTAAAAGCCAATGATGGAAGGGAAATGAGCTTTGAGGAAAATCGTGTTAAGGAGACAGAATTTTCATCTGAAATTCTCAAATTTGAAGGTCATGGGCGTGGTGGATTTCGTGTTCAGAAAGAAGCAGGGGAAACCAATGACTTTGATCCTCAAGATGGCATAGCCAAATTATCAACTGCCCAGCCTTTTCCTAATGCCATTGTCTCTCCAGGCTCTAACGCATGTCAACTTCTGGAGAATGAATTGTCTTCTTCTGGTCGCACCTTGTCAAAAGAATTAATCAATGGTAATTAGTCTTCTATTTGTTGTTGTTTCGTGTTTGCTTAATTTTCATTGTTCTTTTATCTGCATCAGAAAATGTTGGATGTTCCAGACATTGCTATGCAGTTATTTGTTGATAATTTTTTATGTCTTGGCTTGAGTCTTAGACTGTACTTGCTTAACGGGTGTCATAGGCTGATGTTCTTTTTCACATAATTCTTAGTTTTGTCTTTTCTTTTCTCTTCTCCTGTTTCTTTTTTGTGATCTATTTTCTGCAATATGGAATTAAGTGATAAATGGAAGGAATAACAATTGAAACATAAAAGAATAATTAGCTTAAGTTTGGGATCAGTTACTTTTGCAATCTTAACATGTTTGTTTTCCTTCCACAGTAATTTTTGCCCTTTGCCTAATTAGATTAAAAATATAATATTTTGAAAAAATCTGTTCAGGGCCTATGTTGAATTTCTGCTGACTGCTGACAGTTGCAGAACTGTGAAATTTCAGCCCTGGGGAGGAGTGAGGAGTTGGTGTTGGGATTCATTACAAATTTTTATTTGTCATTTGTAGAGAAGAAATTGATTGGTAACCTACCTTTCAGTTTAGTAGTAAAACAATGGGCAGTTTTTAGTACTTCTTTTGCCTCTCAAAATAGTGAATTTGAATGTCATGTATGCTTGAAATCCTGAGCTATTGGTATTTCCTCTACTCTTTTGGTTGGTTGAGTTAGGGATGAGTGAATTGACCATAAAACGTGCTTACAGTTTCTGTCTTTTTAAATTAAGAGTTGATGAAAAAATAATTGTGCTCATCATTTGATGAGTATTCTTCTTTCAATTTGATTGGCAGAGGGACTAAATGGCCACACAGCAGAGGAGACCGAGGGCAAGCATGTTAGTGACCTGAGTATTATGCAGCTGCCAAACAAAGTGAAGATTGAGGATAGCTCCACTGTGCTGGATAGCAACGAATATCATTTAACATCTGATTGTCCAGAGCAACCCCAGGCTCATCATGTACACTTCTTTCTTATAGTGTCTGTTTTCCCCATTTATTCCCCTCGTTGACCTTTTACAACACCAAAGTCTTGTTCTTCATCTACGTATCCTTTTGGGCAGCCTGAATTCATATCTGCAGGGTTGAATTAGCCTAATGTTCTTAGTAAATTTTGTTGACGTATTCTTCTTTCTTTGTTTACTTATAGAGAACTGCATGCAAGTCTTGTTTGGCAATGGAACCTGAGAAACATTGTGAATGTGAGAAGGCAGCTGGCTCGAAGGATTTGAATGCAGAATCTGATCAACCTGAGCACAAACTCCCATCACAAGCCATGCTTGCTGGAGAATCAGAGTTACTGGATGAGGAGCTTTGTGAATCTGAGTGGGTGATCGTTTAAGCTTCCATGGAACAAACAAGTAGCAGAAACTTGGAATCTCATTTGGAAGACAATAACGTAAATGCCTCGATTTAAGAGCTTTTGTGTTTCGAGTTTAGGACATCGAGATGATTTGTGAATAGGCAGGCTGAAAAGCACCACTTGCATTTTGCAATCTAAATAATATTGAAACAAAGTTGTTTTCTGAGTGTGTCTGTATTTTTTCTCATGTTCTCCAAGGTTCTTCTCAATGCAATCAAACTAGCATCCCAAGTCATACGTACATATGCAATGCAAGAAATAAAAATTTTGAAAATCACGTATACTTGCTTATTTCTGCAAAAGATTATGGTGCATGATATATGGATTTCAGCCATGTAAACAAGGAGTTGCTTCCTCAAAAAATAAAGAAAAAGCCACAAGCACAATGTAGCCCCACAAATAATTTTAGAGATTCAACTGCTTGTTATCATCCTATAATTAACATTAAGCAAAATATCATCTGTATCATTTTACTTAGATCCTTGAATGTATCATGTCACACTTATTACGCACTATTCAGTAAAAATGCTTTTTATACAATGTCAACTATATATTTGGTTGGTCTTCCATTATAGCGCAAGTAAAAATTATGAATTAAGACGACCAAGATGATGAGCATAAATGTCATCTATTTCTTTGCTTGTTAATACATTCTTCAATTATTAAGATCAAGACGACGAGTATTATACTACTACTTTGGGGTAATAAATCAACATTAGTGGTATTTAACAAACGGTTTTTTTAACGGGGTGTCCGATGGGCACTTATTAATACACATAAATTCTGCATACTAATAATTATTATCATTCATTGTGTTTATATATTTTTTCCTAATTAATCTTAAAATATTTCTAAAAGTCTATCACCTGAAGTATATCTATACACTTTTCTAATTAATCTTTTCAAAAAATATATGTTGACAAGTGTCTGTTAGACAGACCCTCCTCTAATAATTTGTCTAATAGATGCATTGTTAAAGGGGTCCTTTAACAAACTGCACCACATTGAAGGAAAACCAAAAAAATAAAAGGAAAGCTATATATAGTAGCAGGTGGCCGTTGACAGTGTGTCAGCTTCCAAAAAACACACAAAGCAAGGATTGCTATTTGCTTCAACCGCTGACCCGATTGATTCATGGAATAGCGGGAATATGGCGGACAGTTGCTTGGGACCCTCGTCATCAAAACCCACGACTCTTTTCTCTCAATTGTCAATCCACACTTCTTGGACTTGCCCTTCATTCTCTCTCTCCTTACCTTCACCCTGCAATTTCTCCTTCACCGCCAAAAAACCTTTCTTTTTCTCTTCTTCTTCTTCATCTTTTTTAATGTCTTCTATACCAAATGGACCAAGTAATTCGACCCGTTTCATCGCTCAAAACACCCACTGCTCGTCAGGTTCTTCGTCTCCCCATAATAATCAGCCGTCCCTTCTCGTCTTTTCAGGTATGTGGCTTGATTTTGCTTTTTCTCCCCAACCAACTTGGAAGAAATGTCAGCTTTTCTTGTAATGTTATCGGTGTTCTTAGGCCAATTTACGAGAAATTCTCTTTGCGATATTATATAACTGGGAGTTTGAGGCAAGCGCAGTTTATGAAGTAGCACGGATCAAAAGTATTGTTGGTCCCATTTGTTTTGGGTGCATAATTCCCATTTGTTTTGAGTGGATAATTTGAAGGGTGTTGCTGAAATCTCGAAGGGAATTTTCTTTTGGGATTTAGGGTGCACGAGTTCCATGCTTGTTTCTAGGTGCTGAACTACAATAACTAGAAGAATGGCTGAGACTTTATAGACGCAGAAGAAAGTATAGAAACCAAAGCAGTCTTTGAGACTTTGACGAAACAAATTCTAAACAAGTCATGATATGCTAGAAATGATTGATGGCTTCAAAAAATTGAGGAATTTTTATAGGTACACATTCTTTTCCGTAGATTGTTCAGGAAGTTTTTGCATCTTCTGAAAGCTTAGACACAGTTTGACTATTAAAACATCATGGACCCCCCCGGGGGGGGGGGGGGTTTGGTGTTACTTAATTCTAGTGGTTGTCGGACATTTTTCCTGAAACGATTGTAATGAATTTTAATTTGATCAGTAGTTAAACTTCTGATTATACATTTGCGTGAAGGCTGCTGAAATTTTTTAGTCATCACTCTGCTATATTAGTATGCTTTGGCTCTTGAACTCATGCTCTCATGTGTACTTGGTATTGGTACAGGTGGAACGGCCTTTAATGGAGTTGTAGAAGAGCTTAAGAAATTAACTACTGGTGTTGCCCATGTTCTTCCCGTCTCTGATGATGGAGGAAGTACTGCTGAGATTGTTCGTGTTCTTGGTAAATATTTTTACACCTATAAACCTATAAAATGGACTAATTTTCATAAATTTCTTCCTATTCCATTCTTCTTTAATTTATAGCCTACTATTCAATTGTGGCGAAATGATCAATTGATTGAGTGTGAGGGACCACCATAGGATGGAATATCTCCACTTGAAGTGATACTGAAGTCCTGACCTACTGATAAGTTTGGTCTGCAAGGTTGTTTTATAAAAAATGGTACCCATCCTCAGCTGACTTTTTGCAAACTAGCAGGAAGTTTAGTTAAATAGTTAATGTGATGTTTGTTGTATGCTGATACAGTTGTCTGAAACCTACTTTACAACTAAGAAACACCCTTTTGCATAAAAAAAAACTTCCAGTTTATACTTCACATGTTCCTCAGAGCCAGTGAACTATGGCATGCTTTTGTGGATGGTTGTATTGCAGGTGGTCCAGCAGTTGGAGACATTCGATCAAGGTGTCTGAGATTGTCAGATCAAAGCACTTCTGAGGCTCTTGCAGTCCGAACATTGCTCGGTTATCGCTTACCTCTTGAAGCACAAGTAGCTAAATCAGAATGGTGGGAGTAAAAGTTTGGCTTGCTTAGGTCTTTTCTGTTTGCTTATGTGCTTCAGGATTTATTTTAACTCATTTTATCTTGCTTACCAAATATGTTGCCCTTTTGTGTGGAATTGAACTGGTAAATTTGCTGGTTCTAAGTCCTAATGATTGGTGTAACATATACTTGTTGAAACTTGGCATGTAAACAATCTACATATTTAGGAACTGAGCTGGTACTTACATGAATGGAATAATAGCTATCGCTGTAGCAGCTCAAAGATCTCTAAATTTGGCTAAAGCCATGATGAAGTTTCAATTGGAGGACCTATACACATAAATAAATGTCGAAGTTACCTTTGTAAGAGCATTTGCAGGGATAAGTACATAGGGATCTAACAGGAAATAGATTTAAATATGTATAAAGACTCCTGAATATAGTCCTTCAAATTAGGTGACTCCTCCTTAGAGTAAAGAAAAGGAAGGATCCTCATTCAGTTTTCATGTTATTTTCTTTTGCTTCAAAGGAGGTGCCATAGACTTTTTATTCGTCTTCTTATAAGATACATTTCCTTCAGGGAACTAAAATCAAGACTATTGTTAAGCCCATTTATAAGCAAGTTATACTCATGCTGAAGTTGACTTATTCAATTATAGCTATTAAAATATGTTTTTTATTGAAAACATCAGTGCGGGGATTTTTCGTTAGAGTTGCATGTTTGAGTACCATATGTAGAAAATCAATTGATATGGATGCGAAACAATTATGGGATGACTTAGAAGGGAGAAATGGTTTGGAAGCTTGTTGATTCCCATTCGTTCTTCCATGTTATAGCTTCAAAGACTTTAGAGACTTCAAAGACTAAGGTTCTTTGTCTGATCTCTTTTTTCTTAAACAATTACTTTTATACTTGATGTTGGAGTGCCTTGTCTCTCCCGCATCTATTTGTTAGGAAAGGTTACGGTGGCTTACCACAGAAAGTCTCTCTTTTGACCTTATCAAGGACAGATTCCACATGTGGGAACTTCTTTTTTGCAACAGTAAGATGGCATAAATGGTTTCTACCTACATCAAGCCTTTCTCTCCTGTTTAGACTTAATATACAGAATTACTTGATTAGATTGACCAATTAATTCAGCATAATAGGGAGATGGTTCATTGCCCTCCTGATGTTATCTAACTCATGCTTGAAAATAAGTTCTCTACTATTGGGGATGACTCTAGCAGATTTCATTTGAAATATTGGCGAATATCCATGAGGATAGAACCAAGTCTTTCATCTAATTAAGTTGGAAATTTTAGCTGAAGGTCTGGTAGTTTTCACTTCTTAGAAACAAAAATGATTTCGTTTGTTTCATAGTCGTCCATTACATGACTTGTCAGCAGTAACCAAATTATTTGGTGCTTGGATTTCTATGCCTGTCTCTTTTGAATTGTTTCTTTGCCTATTGATAAAATGTATCTTGGTTTTCTTTTACTCTTCGTATATATTTGTGTTCTTAGCTGAGAATTCACAGGTATGATATTGTGGAGGGGCAGCACCCTCTTTGGAAAGGTGTTTCAAAACCATACAGGGAGACTATTCGAGCTTTCTTGGTGTATTTTCAAGATCAGGTCCATTTGCATTGCTGGAATGAATGTCAACTTCCATTTCAGTACTTCTGTGTCAAACGAGAGTTGTGTTTCCTCTGTTGTGTTCATTTTTGTCAGCCATTCCCATAAAAGATGTCACCATTCCAAACAAGGGAACATTTGTCATGTACATTCCAATTCTACCCTGACTAAAAACAAAACTTTGTTTTCTTTTATTTTAATTGTAAGGTAATTAATTATTGAAACCAATATCTATTGGATTCCTAGAAAATTGTGCCCAAACTTGAGGTGACAAAATCCATGGGATCGAGGCTGTATGTGTTTATGGTTTCACTTTTATTGTTCCTTTGTCACATATGATGCATATATGCATGCAGCAGTATGTTGCTGTGACATTTCCAGTCCATTTTTTGTACAGTATATTGCATGGGTACATTCAGTAATGTGCATTTGCTCATTCTAGATTAGTTTAGCTCCTTTTTTCCCAGAAAACGTTGATCCTTTGCTCAAATTCTGTATCAAAAGAGGTGATCTTTAGATTGTTTGAAATGTTTCAACTTGCCTTCCATCTCTTTTGTAAATTCCATTTTAGTTTTCTGAATGATATAGTCTTATCTTATAGTTGCACATATGATTTTTGCTTTGGAGTAATGTCATATATGCAAGAGTTCCTCAAAGGAAAGGGAGTTCCCTATTGTTTAAGACCAACACGGAAAACAAAAAGGGAGCATTTTCAACTATATAGTAGAGAGAAGATAATAAAACATCCAAAACAAAGGTATTTTATGTTGGGGCCACTAGTTGGCACTGGCAGCACTTTCAAATCACGAGATATTTCAACATTAAAAATCCAATTGATTAACATGGTGTACTTTGGAATGAGATTGAACTAAAATTATAAAAGATGCATGTTTTGGATGTTCTGATCAATTTGTATTATTAGGTAATTCATGCATTCACTGTTGGTGATAGTATATTGCATATTGACACTTGATACATATTCACCTCCTCTTTACATGATGGAAAAGTTGCCACATCCCTGAATGCTGATGTACCCTTGAGTTTTAGATTTTGTCTAAAGGTCTAGAACCACATCTCTGAAACTTTTGTAATTTTGTACAACATTACATTGTTTTGACCATTTTATTTATCATGCTCAGATGGAATTAATTTTATATTCCTTTTATAATCTCTAAAAAATTACTTCCTTTCTTTCCTCATTTTTTGTCTGTGCTTTTAGTTTCTCCAGAAAGTTTCATCTGTTTATTTGTATATCAATTTAGCATATAATTGATCCTAATTTTTTATATTGTCTGCAGATCCTTCGTCATGCAGATGAACTATTTTCATTTAGTAATGGAAGGTATCTTATGGTCCATTTGCTATAATTATGAATTTGTTATATAATTCAGTTGTATATTTCCTGCATTTTCTTAACATTTCCAGAGCTTATTGCTAGGATACATTTGTTACTGTTTTCAATTCTCTAAGTTTCAGTACATCTACTGCTTCGTCTTCAGGGTGTCATATGGACTAGCATATTGGAAATAGCATTGATCGGTTGAGTTCCATCATATTGTTCTATACTTTTCATGTCTGGAATATTATCCATATGTTAGCTGATAATGTTTCAGCAAGAATGTTTTGTCTAATTGATGTTTCATGGTGAAGACTATATACAGCACTTTCTATAAACATAGATTTCCCAACCTTACTTTTCTTTTGGGAAAATGATATTTGAGCTATGTATAAATATGATATAGCAAAAACGAGTAAGGAGGACTTGTGCAGCTTTGTGTGAGAAATAAATATGTTCATTCACAGAAATTTATAATAGTTTGCATATGTTTTATTTCTTCAATTTGTATTTGTGCAACTTTGGCTAATAGTATGTTTTCCCATGGCTAACTCAAAATGGGTCAAGGCCTTTCTTGTTGTAATCTTTCAAACTAAAAATGGAAAGGTTATGGTTATTTCTTCTCTCATTTTCTAACGTATTGTTAATCTATTTTGAAATTGCAAGATGTGCTGTTAAGTTTTATAATCAATCATGAAGAGAGCTAATTGGTGTCAGAATTTCAGATCTGGTAATTGGTGCTAATTTTGTTTTCCCCATGACATTATCTCTGGCACTGCTAGACCAGCATTTGTTTTCGCTCTCTTGATTTTCTAGTGTCAGCTCCTGTCTGAGCTTCCACTGTTAAAGGGACTTTCTCTTGTTCTGACTTTCTCATGTTCTGTTTCATAATAGTTTCTGAACAATGATCAGTTGTTAGATGTGTTTTTATTTTTGTTATAATTGCTTGTTTGTTGTTTACCCAGAAAATATTTTTTGCTTCCTTTGGTATACCTTCGATCATATTTTGTCAACTAACTTACATGAACTTTGCAGCATTGGGAACTTCTTCTTTGCAGGAGCACGCATATTCTTTCGATCGCTAGATGCTGCTATTTTTTTGTTTTCACGTGTTTCAGATATTCCCACAGATAGTCTGGTCCTCCCAGTGATATCTACCAATGACAGGCTTACATTGGGTTGTGAATTATGGGTACGATTAGTAGCTTTTTAACTGACAAGTTCAGTCAATGTTCTTTAGGGTTGTGAATTATGTAATTAAGAAAGTGTACAACCCAAACAAAGATGATGACCAAAAATGTTTAGATGACTTGCATTTCTTGTTTGTGTTTCTAATATTCAGGATGGAACTATTATTCGTGGGCAAAATGAGATATCTCATCCAAGTAAGGGTTCTGTGCAGACCATAGATAAGGTACACATAATATCTGCTGATACAGGAACTGTATAACTTGCATCTTCCTTTGTACGCTACTTGTGTTAATTTTATTTTATTTTTTTCACTGTAATGTACATGTGATATTGTTGTTGCATTTGTTCTTTCCTGCTTGTACTAGTTCACAATCTTATGGGAATTTTGTTGCTTTACATAATAATCATGTTTGGGCTTCATGGTTTTACCACATCTACTTGGTTAAGCACTTTTTAATATTCCTTATCACGAAAGAAAAAGTGTGGGAGTATTTTAGGAAAACTCTGTTTAGTTATGTAAGCTAGTCATTTTCAACTGCAATTGAGAGTCTCAAGATATATAACAAAAAATTAAATTTCAAAAGTATGGGGAATTTTTTGTTCCTTATTGTTGGTTTAGGGTCAACCTATGGGTTCAACAATATAATTTGACCTTTTTCAAGTCTGATTTATGATTCTGGAATTTATTTCATCGGTTATGATGTGACAGGGATTTAGAATTTACACTTTTTTTGTATTTTTGTGCCCCATCTGGTAGCCAAAAGTAATTTTGATTTTACTTATTGATTTTATACTGATAGGGAAGCTCTTCTGCTTCGGCTCTTCCAGCAAGAATAAAACGAATGTTCTATATGTCAAGCGAAGGCTGCAATTTGTTGCATGAGGTAAGTGATGCTTTGACTTGCCTGAAGTGGTTAAAGAGCACTGAAGCTATAATCTTATCCAATTTTAACTAAAAGAAATTGTGCTGGAACTTGTTATATTCTGTGACCCTGTTTGTACATGATCTTTGGATGTTTTGGGTTTGCGTCTTTATAGTGGTGACATAAAGATGTCTTTAGCATACTGTTGTCAAAATGTCTAAGTCAAACAGATAGAGAGTCAAAACAGGGCAGGGAAAGGGGATCCCCTGCATGTTTAAATCAGGTCAATTGTTCAGGGAAGAAGGGGGAGTATTGATAGAAATATTTGATTACTGCAAACCAAACTTTTGGTTCTTGTGGCGCTAAGATCTAAAAATTGCACAGTAGTTAGGAGCTCCAGGTAGAATACTAGATTGTGTGGATCCCTCCTGGCCTACCCCACTATTCGTCAGAAACAAGGAACTTCAGAAATTTCCATCCGTATCCATTACACTCTCTTCATGATGAATGATCCTTCACTTTAAGAAACAAATAGAACAGTAAATTTAAGTGCATAGATGGCTCTTCATCTCCTTCCACCTCTCTGTCTTTGCCCCCCCCCCTCCAACTCTAAAGAACACAATTTCTTCTGAAAAAAGTTCATATGGTAGTCAAAGGGAAAAAAATCATATGGTGGTGGTTAGTTTCTATAATTGGTAAAAGTATCTTGACTTTTCCTTTTCACTACTATTTTATTGTAATTAAGGTCAAGGAGAAACGGCAGAAAGGCATTGCATATGGTTCTTGCATCTTTTGTTTTTGGAGTTGATTTAAATAAAGTCAAGCTAATATTGCAATGTGGCTGCCTTTTTTGTGGTACAATGTTCGTAGAGAGTCAGTTCTTCAAATTTTCTGGAGTATATTGTTTAGATATTAAGTCATTTGCTTTAGATTGTATTTCTCTGCTGATTTTATGCTGTTCGGACATGTAACAGGTCTTCCCAAGTGTAAATCCAACTGTCTTTGAAAAGTTACAGAGTGTTGACTGCATTGTATTTGCCATGGGATCCCTCTTCACTTCTATTTGCCCCTCCTTGGTAACTTCACATGATCCTTGTTCTTAAAACTTTCTTTTTGTGCATTTGCATGTATAGATGGCAAACCTGGGAGGCTGGAATCATTAACGTTGCAAATTTTTATGCAGTAACTAATTACTGCAGTGTCAGTATTGGGAGGTTTAGTTACTACAATATGAAGGCATTACTGCCAAGTGTATTTGTTCATTAGTGCAAAACGGCCTTTTTTTTGGAGGAATTGGGCTGGCGAACCAGCCAAGCAAGTATGCATTAAAACTATCCTGCAATAGAGGCAGTCAGGGAACCATGTTGTGTTTACAGCACTTTTCCTTTTTTTTTTTTTCTCATTAAGGTGACATCTGATAGTGTATGATTAAGGCATCAACACCAGAACATGGGTACTCCTTTCTAGTTTAATTTTCCATCAATACTATGACGGTCGTCAAATTTTTAACAAGTACCTTCCATATTTAATAGTGACTTTGGAACACTTTACATGTGTGCATAGTTTAAAAATGATTTCACATAGAAAATACCTCTTTTTGTGGAATTGTGCAGGAAAATGTGATCCCTGAAATGGTTTATTTATTTGTCATATCTTGTGAGAAAGTTTATAGCATTATATGCTTTTCGGAAAGGCTAATATTGAAATTGTAACATGTGACAAAACTAGGTAACACCAGTGGGAAATGCACTTGCTTTATAAACTGTAAGATGTATATCTCTCTTGGAACATGCCCATCCACTAGATGTTTCTCTCTCTCAATGGTTGTTTGCTTTCAGTTCCTATGTTGCCTTGTGTTTCATCATATTTGGTTCTTTTTTGTTCAGTCTGAAACAGAACATTCTTCTTGTACAAATCATATATACTAGTAGCTTCTTTCCTCTTATATTTAGTGATGTCAAATTTGATAGCTCAATTTTCATCAAACAAAACTATACTACCTGGACTCAGCTTGATTTGGTTTTCATGTATTTTGTTTTCTAAATTTACTAGGTCTTACGTGGAATTGGGGAAATTATCTCATCGAGGTGGTGTCCAAAGGTAGGTCTTCCTTTTAGAAATATAGTTAACATATAGTTGATACTCAAGTCATTTGTGTTTTCCTCATCTCTATGATGGGGAAAGATGTGTTTTCTAAATCTTCTTCATGGTTGGTTATATTTAATTTAAAGGTGAATGGTGTCTTGATTTTGGGATATAATTTTTGGTATGGCATTAGAGCTTGAGATGTTCTTATCATTTTAATCTTATTTTAGATTCTGTGCCTCTCCAGGTACTTCTGTTAAACGGTACTCCTGATCGGGAAACTAGTGGCTTTACTGCTTCTTGCTTTGTCACAGCAATTACCGATGCCCTAAATCGAACTTACGGTGACCCGGAAAATTGTCTTAAGAATACTGTAAGTAGAGTTAGGAGTCATTGCTGTGATGTTTGCAAATAGGATTCTTTCAAATATGAATTTCTTTTACTGTGCTTAGCTCTACTTTATTTGGGTCATGCGCCTGAATTTGACTGATTGAGATATACATTTGCTGTCACTTTCGTTAATACTTCATAGTAAGGAATTCTGATGTAGACAGGTCAATGCTTAGGAGGATGGAATTTATTGAGACATAGGGTCTCCGTTGCCCTTATAATAGAAAGGAATAAAATGCTTTGCCCTCAGAAATTTTTTTTTTTTTTTTTTTTTTTTTTTTTGCGTTGGAAGTATAGCTATGCTGCAAGTTTTGAATAGTCTAAATATTATTTTCTTTAATCTTTTTCTTTGTGATTTTGAAACTTGTTTTTATAGTTTATATTGCAGTCTTTCAGTCAATTCTTATGTAGGAGGATAGGATTTATTGAGACAATCCTTATGTAGTGTCTTCAAAGGATATGCAACAAATTTGGCCTCTCCATTTGTTGGGAATGAACTTTCATTTAGTTTCATTCCAAAGAATTCCTTGATAGTGGATTCTATCTAGTTTGGCTGTCATTCAAATGGGGCTACAATTATGGAGATGAATTGGAAGAGTAAGCCCATTTCACCAACAAAAGTTAGAAATTTGGGGCCATGCTGTTGTCTTTTATTTATTGCTTTCTTGAAAAAAGGAGAAAAAAAAAACCATGCTTGCACTTATCTCAGCTTTTGTTAATTTACTGTATGATGACATAAGCTCATTAATAAATATTTCTCTTATTCCTTTTTTCTGCAAAAATTTGGCTCATATATCAATGCTTAAAATCATGACATGATCCTTCAAACGGGGATGAAGTCCTGTTGCTCATAATGATTCATTTTTCGTCGCAGCCAAACCAATACATAAACACAATTTTGGTTCCCAAGGATGGTCAAATTCCTGTTGATGTTGAAGTCTTGACCGCCCAACGGATATTCCATGTGGTATGTTTATGGCATTATGCTTTCTTTCTAGCTGAAGTAAGATAAATTTTGCTGTCTACAGACACGTCATAAGGATAATCTTGAATTTGAAGTTTGTGAGTGATGAATCTGTCTCATCACTTGCACTTGGTGATTATGCCTCGGCAACACAACAAGCTAAGCAGACATCTGCTAGCAGGTTTTTGTATTCTCTTTTCTTGTACGGATTTCTGATGGTGTATGTGTTCTTATTGAACTCCGTAGGTAACTGTTGATTCAATACCTGACCCAAAAGTTGGTGTAATATTTGATCCAGAATCTTTGATCGAAGCGCTTTCTAACCTCTTACATGCACCCATTCATGTAAAATGAGTCAAGACTTGATCATTCTTTGTTAGCAATGACAAATGGGAGCCAAATGGTGGAGACTTTTTTCTGTTTATGATCTTCATACTTTGGGGTTTTTCTCTTCAAGGTAAGGAACATGCTATAACAACAACTTGGATAAAGTCATATGATTTATATTGAATCTAATGGGGTCTGGATAGCAATGATGTTGTCTTGCTGCAGCCGTTAATTGAAGGCAAGATGTTCAGATTACATCCAAGATTGGGAAAGGAACGTTGCTAGTCATACCATCTATCTCCAGCAGGAAGGAGGAGGAAGCGATGCATCCCATCTTCTATGTACATGTAACAGAAGTAGCAGATACTCCATTTTATGCTGTTGTAGTTTCTGTATAGTTCGTTAACGAGCACTAATGGGCTTTTTCATCTCTCCTCTCATTATGTATGTTTGCTTGTCCAGAGAGTAGAGGCGTTTTATCGCATGTTATGTCATATCTGGAACATATCTGCAAGAAATTGCAGAGTTTCATCAGCGTCATCATGCCATAAACCGAAATATGTGAATCAACAGAACCTAATCTGCTTTTGGCAGAAGATACAAAGCAAAAATATACTTTGTACTCTGCAAGCGCAATCCAGATAAATAGGTAATGCCTGCATTCTGTTTGACTTATCGGATCAATATTTTGTCTCCAAAGTACAACCATTCCATAATTTGTCCAATCGGTATATCATGGCAAGACTAAGTAGGAAAAAAGGACCGAACCGTGCTAATTATATTGAGGAATGATTTGTATTGTCTGTCAACAGCTGAACCTTGAGTTTGATTTGGCTAAAAAGTGCTTGTCATGCCATTTACTTGTATGAGATTGAATCCAGACTTGTGCTCAAGTTTGAGCTCAATCAGCATCCATCAAATTAAATAAAGCTTGAATAATATAATTTAATATTTTTTTGTCATTTTTAATGAGGCATATAATTGGCATTCTGCTAAGATAATTTAATATTTTGGATGAGATAATATTAAAGTATGACATTCCACCAAGCATTTCACCTTGACTTGTTGCTTGCTGCAACTATAATATACACCATAACATTTCCAGCACGAGGACAAGTTGAGGCTCTCAATCGGGGGCCGAGGATCTAAAGTAGAATGGTAGTACAAGATTGCCTGTTCGTGGCCTGTAATAAAACCATACACATGCAACTTTGACATGCTCAGTGGCACTCAGGTCTTCTTTCATGGCAGCATGTCAATCTCTGATACTTGGAAAGCCTTGGGAAGATGGAAAGTGTAGCTGTCTTAGTAGTCGATTGCAACTTTGACATGCTCTGATTTCAAGCTCAGCATGCATTTCCTGACCAAATGAGAACAAATGCTCAAGATACAGGAGTCGGGTGTTTTTTCGCTGGCATTGGTCAGACTAGAAACCATTGGACCTTGGTTCAATGGCCAGTTTGAAACTCTCCCGTACACTGGGTCGGGATCTAGTAAATCACATCGTACAAGAAGCATATCACTTTTTGTTCGTATAAAAATTCAGATGGTGCAACAGTGCACATGTCTAGTCAAGTGATTCACCCTCCAATTTCTATACAAGTTTCTTTAAGCTCCCTCTCTATCATAGAATAGAAGTTAATTAGATAATTACCGTTAAAAAAAAAAAAAAAAAAGCATTGGCAAAACTAGAGATTGGGCTGTTGTTTGAATTCAAATTTTTGAATTGGGCACAACGTGATTAAGGTGTCTGAATAGCCGTTCTTCATGTTTTTTTGAATTGCACTCATAGGAAATATTTCTGCACTATGCTTAAACGATAAATTTGGCTCTTAAATTGAATTAAGAAATTTGAATTTCTTTTCTGCTATTTTGATTTTGATTTTTGAGAAAATAATTTGGAATTCAATAGTTAATAAGTTAGTGATTCCATGATGATATAATTCCAAAAGTTTGAAAATTTTAATTTTTAGGTGGTGCCATTGTCCAAAATACTGGAATTGAGCTCCAGGCAATGCCTTTTTGAGTTTTATCCTTTTCGAAACAACTAGTTTTTCGGCCTTATTGGTTATGCTTGGTGGCCCTTGTTTTCTCATAACACTTGTATTGCGTTTAATAATCTCCTGAATCCAGTCCCTCATGCAGGTTGAATCAAACTAAAGCTTTAACTTCGGCTTGAAAATGAGTCAACGTTTATGCGAACCTGGGCTTAGCGTACTAATTTCATTAACATAGAATAGATAAAATGTGTACTCGTCGTCAGGATCAAGAGCATCTGGGTCAAAATGTACATCCATTTTGCGCCTGAAGAATTAAAAATTTGAAGGGGCTGCATTTTTTTTTAGTAATTACAACATGTTGAGCTGGAAAATAATAAAATCATATAGTATTATGTTAGTCAAACTTGAATTACAGGTGGCCTGGAATAAAATGTAGTGTAGTTGTAAAGAAAAGGTGTCTGTCTCATTACAACTTCTATGCACTTCAGTCCCTAGTGGAATTGCACCTTATATTTGAATCCTAGTAGAATTGGTGCTAGATCTGTAAGTTGATTAACAAAAGCAGGATCAGAGACCTTAATCTAAAAACAAGTCAATTCCGTCTAGGAAACTGCTTATTGTATTTTTGTATAGTGCTACTTTGGTTGTATTTTGTTTTTGGTTTGACATCTGCAGAACAAATCCAGTTAGGATTCGATTTTTTGATCCAACAGGTTTATAACACTTTCTCAACCCTATATAATCACATAGCAAGCAACCATGATAGTACCACGCAGTAATATTACATAGTTAAACTTTTGGTTGTTGTCTGAGCAATAATGGGTGTCAAGGGCACGAGTATTGGTGCTGTTTTCTTTGTTATTGCATCTGCTTTGCTGCTTCTTTCTCCTTCACCATCCGCTGATGCTAGTCCTCTCCTGAGTGCCTGCCGTTTTGATCAAGTGTACCAACTTGGGGACTCCATATCAGACACTGGGAATTTGATCAGGGAATCTCCACTTGGAGCCGCTTTACCTTTCGCCAGAAATCCCTACGGTCAGACCTTCTCCCACCACAAAGCCACCGGCCGTTGCTCTGATGGACTTCTCATGATTGACTACTTTGGTAAATATATATATAAGATTCTTTTGATCTGCCCTTCCCGCTGTTAATTCTTCATAGTATTGCCAACCAACTTGCAATAGCTATTTTTTTTATTTGTGTGCGTGTCACAATTCAGGCTATTTTAATCTTTTCTTCGTATGATTTATTCTTATTTTGAACACTTGATATAGAGCTTTGCTTTTTATCAACTCACTCCGTATCTGATTGTCTTTTCCGCGACAAAATCTGTTAAAGGATTTCTTTCTTTCTTTCTTCTTCTTTTTTTGTTATAAATAATTTGCGTGGAGAACGTAGATGCCAATGAGTTGCATGCATGATGGAAAAAATTCGAACTATCGCCGTCTGGTGTGTTACAAGGAAATTTAGAGTGTAAATTATCCAGAGTATTATTATTACAGTTCTTGGCTGCCTTAACTGAAAACCATGTGCAATTCTTGCCCTAATTATCCATTTAGTTATACTGGTTAACCCTGCAGCATTATGTTTATCTGCAATCTTCCGCTGATGTTCCTAGTGGTGATTCATCATCGATGTTTGCCTTCCATGTTTATTTACTTATTTTTGTTTATGTAGGCTATCATATTCACATCCGCTAACTGAATATTTGGATCGTTGTTTTAACACAGCCCAGGCGCTGGGTCTACCTCTTCTGAATCCGATCAAGGATACAAAGGCAAATTTTGAGCATGGAGCAAATTTTGCCGTAGCCGGTGCTACAGCACTATCATCAGCTGTTCTCGCTCATCATCATGTTACAAATCCAGTGACCAACAGTTCCCTTGACATACAGCTTCAGTGGATGAAAGATCACTTTCACAAATTTTGCCACAATGGTAGATTCAAATTTTATATATGATCGTGACAGCCATTCAACTTTTCTCAACTTCTATTAACTTTTTTTTTTTTGGCATGACACTGAATTTTGTCCCTTTTCTTTTTGTTTAACAGATTGTGAAAGGAAGCTTCAAAACGCTCTATTTATGGTCGGTGAAATCGGAGGCAACGATTATAATTATGCATTCCTTCAGTACTTGGATGAGGCTAGAGATACGCTTAAAATTCTAGAGTTGGTACCTCTAGTTGTTGCCAAAATTAAGCATGCTGTTGAGGTTAGCTTTTGCAGGCCCCTCCTCTTCTTGTTAGCACTCTTGCTGCTTTTAATTCTCTTGCTTCTAATTGCTTCTCCTTTTCTTTCAATGTTGTATTTCAGAAAGTGATTAGTTTTGGAGCAAGGACAATAGTGGTTCCTGGGAACTTTCCAATGGGATGTCTGCCAATTTATCTAACAAAGTTTGGGCTAGAAAGCGAAGTAGACGAGTTCGACGAGAATCATTGCATATGGCTATTGAACAGCTTTGCAACTTTCCACAATGATCACCTGAAGAAGGCGATTGCCGAGCTGCAAGAGAAGTACCCATATGTAACAATCGTCTATGGAGACTACTACGCTGCATATGAACAGCTTTTCAATCTAGGTGAAACTGAAGGTATGTTAGTTAGTATTTACCAGTTTGAATTCTTAAAAGAAATCAATTATTTCCAGTAGGAGGAAGGGGTATCTGAAGCATCCACATCTGGTCATCTAATTGTTTTTGTCTTATTAGGTTTTGAGTTACAAAAAGCTTGTTGTGGAGTTGGAGGGCTGTACAACTTCAATGAGACGCGAATGTGTGGATTTCCAGGTGTTAAGGCTTGCCGTGATCCCGAAAGATACGTCAGCTGGGATGGGATTCATTTAACACAGGAGGCTTACCGCATGATAGTGGATTGGTTGCAAGCTGATCTTTTCTGGAAATTGCGTTGCCATCATTGAACAATTCTCTATCAACTTTATCATGTTCTTCAAGCTTCTACAGTAGCAGCACTCGAGTCCCAGTTTGCTTTTTCAGTCCAGTAGCTTAGTTTAGTTTTAGCTAATGGGAAGCTCTTGTGTGACTAATTTCGTCACCAACTGTTTGACCACTTACTTTTATATGAAACTTTTTCAGTTTTTATCATACTGGGTTCAAGATTATGAAAATTTTATCTAGTTCTTGGCGAAAAGCTCTGTAAACTGCTGCCAATCCAAGCATCAAGGCGTCTAACTTAAGGAGCAAAAGAATCAAACCCACAAATTTTATGTATCAAATGTCAATACTGAAACAAACGCGCCAATAAGCTGATTATCAAGGTCAGGGCAGCACTGCGTTTTTAATAACAAACCAAACTTTCTACATAACCGCCTAATAAACTCAAAAAACCCAATCTGCAATCAGGTGCCCTCAACTCTTGAATCAAACACAAAGCTCGGGAATGTAGTAGTGATGTCCAGCAGGAAGCGATGCATCAGATCTTCTATGTACATGTAACAGAAGTAGCAGATATTCCATTTCACGCTGTTGTAGTTTTTGTATAGTTCGTTAACGAGCATTAATGGGCTTTTTCATCTCTCCTCTCATTATGTTTGCTTGTCTAGAGAGTAGAGGCGTTTTATCGCATGTTATGGCATATCTGCAACATATCAGCAAGAAATTGCAGAGTTTCATCAGCGTCATCATGCCATAAACCGAAATACGTGAATCAACAGAACCAAATCTGTTTTTGGCAGAACATACAATGCAAAAATATACTTTGTGCCCTGCAAGTGCAATCCAGATAAATGGTTAATGCCTGCATTCTGTTTTGACTTATCGGATCAATATTGTGTCTCAAAAGTACAACCGTTCCATAATTTGGCCAATCGGTATATCATAGCAAGACTAAGTAGGAAAAATGGACCAAACCGTACTAATTATATTGAGGAATGATTTGTATTGTCTGTCAACAGCTGATCCTTGAGTTTGATTTGGCTAAAAAATGCTTGTCATTCCATTTATTTATATGAGATTGAATCCTGACTTATGCTCAAGTTTGAGCGCAATCAGCATCCATCAAATAAAATAAAGCTTGAATAATATAATTTAATATTTTTTTGTCATTTTTAACGAGGCATATAATTGGCATTCTGCTAAGATAATTTAATATTTTGGATGGGGTAAGATTAAACTATGACATTCCACCAAATATTTCACCCTGACCTGTTGCTTGCTGCAACTAATACGCATGATAACATTTCCAGGCTCCAGCACGAGGACGAGCTGAGGCTCTGAATTGGGGGCCGAGGATCTAAAGTAGGATAGCAGTACAAGATTGCCTGCTCGTGACTTGTAATAAAACCGCACTCATGCAACTTTGACACGCTCAATGGCACTCAGGTCTTCTTTCATGGCAGCATGTCAATCTCTGATACTTGGAAAGCCTTGGGAAGATCGAATGTGTAGCCTTCTTTCATGGCCTTGTTCTACCCTAATATTCAGGGTAGTGATCGGTTGTCTGCCAATCAAATATCTACAGTGCTTCAACTTTCACTGTCAAAAACTCTTACCTATTATACCCCTTTGCTGGAAGGCTAAAGAACAACCTTTTTATCGACTGCAATGACATGGGAGTTCAGTTTATCGAAGCCCAGATCAAATTCCGGATATCTGACATTATCAACCAACCGAACTTTCATTTGGAAGATCTCGTCTTTCCAGCCGCATCTGGTCATATATCTCCCATCACTAGTAATCCTGCCGATTCTAGTCTTGTGCTTGTTCAGCTGAACTATTTCGATTGTGGAAGTCTGGCACTAAGCATGCTTATCTCGCACAAGATTGCTGATGCATCCACCATGTCCACTTTCTTTAATGACTGGGCTGCTGTGGCCCGTCAGCTCTTGCCAAATGGTGATCATATTCCATCTCCTCAGTTTATAGGAGCTTCACTCTTTCCTCCAGTTGAAGATCCAACAATGTTGAAGCTATACGCCGTGCCAAAGAGGGAAACATGCTTGACCAGAAGATTCTTGTTCCATGCTTCAAAAATTGCTGAACTTAAGGCTATGGCAACTAGTTCAGGAGTGGATAACCCGACTCGAGTTGAAGTTGTGACTGCTCTAATTTTGAAGTGTGCAATGTCTGCATCAAGGGCTAACTCAGGCTCATTTAGGCCCTCCGTGTTTCGCAATGCTGCAAACTTGCGACAAATAACTATCCCTCCGTTGCCACAGAATTCTGTTGGAAATTTCATTACCGTCTATCCCGTAGTATTGGAGAACGAGGATGATGTGAGATTTCCAGAATTGGTTAGTAAACTAAGGAATGGTCGAAGGAAAATCCAAAATGAGTACAGAGAAAAGCACAAATTTGATCCAATTCAAGAATTCCAATCCACACTTGCAAAGCGGGAAGGCATTGTCAAGAAATTTGATCTTTACCATTGCTCCAGCATGTGTAGATTCCCATTTTATGATGTGGATTTTGGTTGGGGAAGACCTTCATTGGGGCGCTATGCTACTAAACTAGGACAAAGGAACTCCTTTATTATGATGGACCTAAGAAATGGAAAAGGGGTCGATGGAATACAAGCAATGGTCACGCTAGAAAAGCCGCAAGTGTGCTTATTTGAAGCTAATGATGAGCTCCTCACTTATGCTTCTTTAAATGGTGAAAACGAGTGGCCTTACCCCCATGGCTTTTAAGTATCCAATTTGATCTTTTGCCACTATAATTCATGTCGTGGAAGGGCATCCTCGAACACGTTGATCTGATCATACGAACCTAACTCGATCCACAAAGAGAAGATGTACCTTATACTAGAGGAGGAAATGTTTATTCATAACCATTGATCCATCCTAAATCAAAGCTTGTGAATGGCTATGAGTGAGTTAAAATACGTAAATGAATGTAAACGCTTGACTTACTTTGATTCAATAAGTTTGATGGTTTTTAAATAGCTGATGCATGTGATCCACTTGTATCCATTTCATTAAAGTAAAGAAAATAAAGAACAGAGGTTTCTGTGCTTGACTTCGTTCTCTCAGAGAGGCTTCTACGTCCAATATGAGCAGCTCTGAATTCATCATTGCTCAGGTCTGCATATTCAATATTGACGGCTAGATTGCATCTTTATTCTCTGCACTATTGATCAAGTCCATGTACTTAACATTTGCTTTGAATATGTTCCTTTTCTGCAGCGTCCTTTCAATGCCTTCCAAAACTAGACATCCATTCCTCGTGCATTTCTCTCATGGAAACATCCGGGATCATTCGAGAGAAGACTTGTAGAGAGTGGAGACCATGAAATGATAATCATGTAAGAGAAAACAACAAACATGCGTGCTGCTCCAGGATACTTGATCCTATTAGTAAATATTTTTTCTACTCAGAATGGATTACAAAACTCTGATGAAATTTCCCTCACAAGACAACCATCTTCTATGGGTATATGGGTTTTGCTATATATATCAGTCATTTTTTTGCTTGAATAGATTAATTTCCATATCTATCCTATTGTATGGATCAAACAAGTGTCCTTTTCAGTTCCCCTTAGGCTTGTATCTTCTAAATGTCGTCTGGTGCTTTTCCTGTATTTGGTTCTATGCCTTTGCCTGCCAGAAGAAAATTTTGATATTTTGACAAGTGTTCAGCTTGTTGTTTTATCCTCAAAGTTCTAGAGATATAACACTGACTACTAAGCCTGCAAACGAATTGAATTGAATTGAACTTGAAGTTATCAAGCTTGATTTGAAATCTTGGGATCGAACTCGAATTCGAACTCTTGTACGAGTTTAAATTTAAGCTCGAGTTCGATTTGATTTGATATTTATTAGGTTCAAGTTCAATTCAAGAGCTCGAAATTTTATTTATTTTTTACATTTTAATATTATTTTATCAATAATAGATATATAATATCTATACAATAAAATAATAAATGTATTATTATGTATAAAACACTTATATATATATTAAATAAAATAAAAAAAATTTATTCGAGCCTAATTGAGCTTTAACGAGTCGAATAATACAAGTTCAAATTCAATTTGATACTTTAATCCAGTTCTAATACTGATTTGAAATCGAGTTCAAACTCGTTCAAAATTGAATCTAAATCAAGTCTAAATGAATTGAGTCCGGACTATTCGTTAAGGATCGGTCAGTTTACAGCCCTACTCACCATTTTACAAACAAAAAGTGGAATATGACATTCTGACTTCAAACAAAAAGTAGAATATGACGTTCTGACTTTTATGCTTAACCAATTGTTCATTAAGGTCCAAAATAGTAGGAAACGAACTCATTGCAACATTAAAAATGAAGATGATTGAGAAATTCTGGGCTAGGATAACGGTGCACTGTCTACGTAGGCAACTAAGCTTTGTTAGTCCATGCCATGGAACTTTTTGGGGTATGATGTCCAGCCAAATGATTCAACTCAAAGATGCGAGAGATTAGAACTGTAAATGAGTCGAGCTGAATCGAACATCTCTTGTTTAAACTTAGCTTGTTTACTAATTCAGCCTGGTTCAAACTCGTTCGTCAAGTTGACAAGCTGGAAGAGGTTTTCACACTAGACTCGTTAACTGAATTTCCAGCTCATTTAGCATAATGAAATTGGAAACTAGGAAGAAATAATTCCACAAACATTCATCAAACTATCATATGACACCAAATGTACATTGCAGGGATTGATATTTGTAAACTCAGTCAAGATTCAACCGCAAGAAGTTCCAAACTGAGATTGCACCCTAATGAAAGCAAGCCAGGTAAATCAACTAAAATACGACATATATAAGCTTAAACTGCATTTGGATCATTTAGTAGGATACTTGGCTTCCATAGCAATTCCACACAAACCTTCCTTAGCAGCAATATCTCGTTGCATCCTCATGTATCCATCCTCTCCCCAGTCAACACCCCATGAGTTCTTAATCAGCCAATACTTCAACTTGCCATTACTGGTGCCGTAGCCAAC